TCTAACCTACTGGCTCTCTGATTCACTGGCTCTCCAAGTCACTCTCTAACCTACTGGCTCTCTGATTCACTGGCTCTCCAAGTCACCCTCTAACCTACTGGCTCTCTGGTTCACTGGCTCTCCAAGTCACCCTCTAACCTACTGACTCTCTTCACTGGCTCTCCAAGTCGCTCTCTAACCTACTGGCTCTCTGCTTCACTGGCTCTCCAAGTCACCCTCTAACCTACTGGCTCTCTGATTCACTGGCTCTCCAAGTCACTCTGTGACCTACTGGCTCTCTGGTTCACTGGCTCTCAAGTCACTCTCTAACCTACTGGCTCTCTGATTCACTGGCTCTCCAAGTCACTCTCTAACCTACTGGCTCTCTGCTTCACTGGCTCTCCAAGTCACTCTGTGACCTACTGGCTCTCTGGTTCACTGGCTCTCCAAGTCACTCTCTAACCTACTGGCTCTCTGATTCACTGGCTCTCCAAGTCACTCTCTAACCTACTGACTCTCTTCAATGGCTCTCCAAGTCACTCTCTAACCTACTGGCTCTCTGCTTCACTGGCTCTCCAAGTCACTCTCTAACCTACTGGCTCTCTGGTTCACTGGCTCTCCAAGTCACTCTCTAACCTACTGGCTCTCTGCTTCACTGGCTCTCCAAGTCACTCTGTGACCTACTGGCTCTCTGGTTCACTGGCTCTCCAAGTCACTCTCTAACCTACTGGCTCTCTGGCTCACTGGCTCTCCAAGTCACTCTCTAACCTACTTGGCTGTCTGCTTCACTGGCTCTCCAAGTCACTCTCTAACCTACTGACTCTCTTCAATGGCTCTCCAAGTCACTCTGTGACCTACTGGCTCTCTGCTTCACTGGCTCTCCAGTCACTCTCTGAGCTCCGGCTCTCTGCTTCACTGGCTCTCCAAGTCACTCTCTGAGCTCCTGGCCTACTATCCCCGCCTGAGCGTGGTGCTAACAACGCCCCCCCCTCCCCGACCACGCGTTCTCGAGCCGTCCGAGGGTGTTCGGTGAGAGGGCCGCCTCGTTTGGGAGAGTGCCCTGGCACCACCACCACCACGAGCCCACTGCCAGGCGGTGGGCACCACGACCACCGCTCTTGCCTCTGCCGCCGTGCGTCGAAAGAGCGTGGAACGCGCCGCTGGGTCGAGGCTACCCGGTGGACCTTTGTCTTTGTGCGCAGGGGACGGCCGGCGTGGACAAGGCGCTGGACTCCACCGAGCTGCTGCAGCTCATCCAGCAGAACCCGGCGGTGTCCACCATGAGCTCCCAGCCAGCGGAGGAGCCCGGCCACGGCCAGCTCCTGCGGTAGTACCCCCCCCCACATCCCCCTCCTCCTCCTGCTCCTCCTCCACTCCCACACTCATCCACTCACCTCTTCATCCACTCATCCACTCACCTCCTCCTCCCCCCTCCTCCTCCTCCTCCACTCCCACACTCATCCACTCACCTCTTCATCCACTCCCAAACTCAATCCACTCACCTCTTCATCCACTCATCCACTCACCTCTTCATCCACTCCCACACTCATCACTCCACCACAGTCATCCACCCACCTCCTCCTCCACTCCCACACTCATCGACTCACCTCCTCCTGCACTCCCACACTCATCCACTCACCTCTTCATCCACTCTCACACTCATCCACTCACCTCCTCCACTCCCACACTCATCCACTCACCTCTTCATCCACTCCCACACTTATCCACTCCCACACTCATCCACCCACCTCCTCCTGCACTCCCACACTCATCCACTCACCTCTTCATCCACCCACCTCCTCCTGCACTCCCACACTCATCCACCCACCTCCTCCTGCACTCCCACACTCATCCACTCACCTCTTCATCCACTCCCACACTCATCCACCCACTTCCTCCTCCCTCCCACACTTATCCACTCACCTCTTCATCCACTCATCCAGTCACCTCTTCATCCACTCCCACACTCATCCACTCCCACACTCATCCACCCACCTCCTCCTCCACTCCCACACTCATCCACTCACCTCCTCCTCCACTCCCACACTCATCCACTCACCTCTTCATCCACTCCCACACTCATCCACTCACCTCCTCCTGCACTCCCACACTCATCCACTCACCTCCTCATCCACTCCCACACTCATCCACCCACCTCCTCCACTCTCACACTCATCCACCCACCTCCTCATCCACTCCCACACTCATCCACTCACCTCTTCATCCACTCCCACACTCATCCACTCACCTCCTCATCCACTCCCACACTCATCCACCCACCTCCTCCACTCTCACACTCATCCACCCACCTCCTCCTCCACTCCCACACTCATCCACTCACCTCCTCCTCCACTCCCACACTCATCCACCCACCTCCTTCTCCACTCCCACACTCATCCACTCACCTCCTCCCCCCTCCTCCCTCCTCCTCCCCCCACTCCCAGTGGTGGTGTGGGCGTGCTGCTCACCAACACCACCCTCGTGTGCCACAGCCACAGTGCCGGCCTGCACAGCTGCTACTTGCTACGAACAGCACTTGCCCCGACAGTGTGTTAAAGGCTACGCGGGGGACCTTTTTCTTTGTGTGCGTCTCAGCGGGCTCTGCGTGGATGCCCTCATCGAGCTCCTCGGACCGCGGACACCGACTGGAAACTCGGATTTGAAGAGTTCCTGGACCTCCTGAACCCCAACTACACCCCCCCAGAGAGAGTGAGCACCCAGACCCCCTCCACCACCATCGCTACCCCCGTCACCACCATCGCTACCCCCTACACCATCATCGCTACCCCCTCTACCATCATCGCTACCCCCCTCCACCACCATCGCTACCCCCTACACCATCATCACTACCCCCTACACCATCATCACTACCCCCTCCACCACCATCGCTACCCCCTCTACCATCATCGCTACCCCCTACACCATCATCGCCACCCCCTCTACCATCATCGCTACCCCCTCTACCATCATCGCTACCCCCTCCACCACCATCGCTACCCCCTCCACCATCATCGCTACCCCCTACACCATCATCGCCACCCCCTCTACCATCATCACCACCCCGTCTACCACCATCGCCAGCCCCTCTACCATCATCGCTACCCCCTCTACCATCATCGCTACCCCCCTTCACCATCATCACCACCCCCTCTACCACCATCACTACCCCCTCTACCATCATCGCTACCCCCCGCCACCACCATCGCTACCCCCCTCCACCATCATCGCCACCCCCTACACCATCATCGCTACCCCCTCTACCATCATCGCTACCCCCCTCCACCACCATCGCTACCCCCTCTACCATCATCGCTACCCCCTTTACCATCATCGCTACCCCCTCTACCATCATCGCTACCCCCTCTACCATCATCGCCACCCCCTCCACCACCATCGCTACCCCCTACACCATCATCGCTACCCCCTACACCATCATCGCTACCCCCTCTTACCATCATCACTACCCCCTCCACCATCATCGCTACCCCCTCTACCACCATCACTACCCCCTCTACCACCATCGCTACCCCGTATAACCATCATCGCTACCCCACTACACCATCATCGCCACCCCCTCTACCATCATTGCTACCCCCCTCTACCACCATCGCTACCCCCTCTACCCATCATCGCTACCCCCTACACCATCATCGCCACCCCCTCTACCATCATCGCTACCCCACCTCTACCATCATCGCCACCCCCCTCTACCATCATCGCTACCCCCTCTACCATCATCGCCACCCCCTCTACCATCATCGCTACCCCTCTACCATCATCGCTACCCCCTCTACCATCATCGCTACCCCCTACACCATCATCGCCACCCCCCTCTACCATCATCTCTACCCCCTCTACCACCATCGCTACCCCCTCTACCATCATCGCTACCCCCTCTACCATCATCACCACCCCCTCTACCATCATCGCCACCCCCTCTACCATCATCGCTACCCCCTCTACCATCATCGCTACCCCCTCTACCATCATCGCTACCCCCTCTACCATCATCGCTACCCCCTCCACCATCATCGCTACCCCCTCTACCATCATCACCACCCCCTCCACCATCATCGCCACCCCCTCTACCATCATCGCTACCCCCTCTACCATCATCACTACCCCCTCCACCATCATCGCTACCCCCTCTACCATCATCACCACCCCCTCTACCATCATCGCCACCCCCTCTACCATCATCGCTACCACCCCCTCTACCATCATCGCTACCCCCTCTACCATCATCGCTACCCCCTCTACCATCATCGCTAACCCCCTCCACCATCATCGCTACCCCTCTACCATCATCGCTACCCCCTCTACCATCATCGCTACCCCCCTCTACCATCATCGCTACCCCCTCTACCATCATCGCTACCCCCTCCACCATCATCGCTACCCCCTCTACCATCATCACCACCCCCTCTACCATCATCGCTACCCCTCTACCATCATCGCTACCCCTCTACCATCATCGCTACCCCTCTACCATCATCGCTACCCCCCTCTACCATCATCGCTTACCCCCCTCCACCATCATCGCCACCCCCTCCACCATCATCGCCACCCCCTCCACCATCATCGCCACACCCCTCCACCATCATCGCCACCCCCTCCATCATCATCGCCACCCCCCTCCACCATCATCGCCACCCCCTCTACCATCATCGCTACCCCCTACACCATCATCGCTACCCCCTCTACCATCATCGCCACCCCCTCTACCATCATCGCTACCCCTCTACCATCATCGCTACCCCCCTCTACCATCATCGCTACCCCCTCTACCATCATCGCCACCCCCCTCCACCATCATCGCCACCCCCTCCACCATCATCGCCACCCCCTCCACCATCATCGCCACCCCCTCCACCATCATCACTACCCCCTCCACCATCATCGCTACCCCCTCTACCATCATCGCTACCCCCTCTACCATCATCGCTACCCCCTCCACCATCATCGCTACCCCTCTACCATCATCATTACCCCCTCCACCATCATCGCCACCCCCTCTACCATCATCACCACCCCCTCCACCATCATCGCCACCCCCTCTACCATCATCACCACCCCCTCTACCATCATCACTACCCACCCCTACCATCATCGCTACCCCCTACACCATCATCGCTACCCCCCTCTACCATCATCATTACCCCCCTCCACCATCATCGCCACCCCCCTCTACCATCATCACCACCCCCTCCACCATCATCGCCACCCCCTCTACCATCATCACCACCCCTCTACCATCATCACTACCCACCCCTACCATCATCGCTACCCCCCTCCACCATCATCGCTACCCCCTCTACCATCATCGCTACCCCCCTCTACCATCATCCACCACCCCCTCTACCATCATCGCTACCCCCTCCACCATCATCGCTACCCCCTCTACCATCATCATTACCCCCTCCACCATCATCGCCACCCCCTCTACCATCATCACCACCCCCTCCACCATCATCGCCACCCCTCTACCATCATCACCACCCCCTCTACCATCATCACTACCCACCCCTACCATCATCGCTACCCCCTACACCATCATCGCTACCCCCTCTACCATCATCATTACCCCCTCCACCATCATCGCCACCCCCTCTACCATCATCACCACCCCCTCCACCATCATCGCCACCCCCTCTACCATCATCACCACCCCCTCTACCATCATCACTACCCACCCCTACCATCATCGCTACCCCCTCTACCATCATCACTACCCCCTCTACCATCATCACTACCCCCTCTACCATCATCGCCACCCTCTCTACCATCATCACTACCCCCTCCACCATCATCGCCTCCCCCTCTACCATCATCACCACCCCCTCTACCATCATCACTACCCCCTCTACCATCATCACCACCCCCTCTACCATCATCACTACCCCCTCTACCATCATCACCACCCCCTCTACCATCATCATTACCCCCTCTACCATCATCGCTACCCCCTCCATGGCCACACCCCTCGTGTTGCGTGTTGCATGTTACGTGTTGCCTGTTGCCTGTTGCGTGTTGCGTGTTGCGTGTTGCATGTTACGTGTTGCCTGTTGCCTGTTGCCTGTTGCGTGTTGCGTGTTGCCTGTTGCATGTTACGTGTTGCCTGTTGCGTGTTGCGTGCGGCGCTGCGAGTCGGCGCTGCGCTCTCCGTGACGGCCCCCCGTGCCCCCCCCCCCCCAGAGTGTGCCCTGGAGGATGAGTGGCACAGCGACGGCGCCGTCACCCTGGTGGACTGCAACCGCTGCGTCTGCTCCTGCGGCAACTGGGTCTGCACCACCATGACGTGTGACGGTGAGCCACACACACTCACTGTCACACACTCACACTCACACACTCACACTCACACACTCACTGTCACACACTCACACACACTCACACTCACACACACTCACACTCACACACTCACACACACTCACTGTCACACACTCACACACTCACTGTCACACACACACACACACAACAACAACAACAACCGCCATTCGCCACTAAGTGGCGGTGACGTCACCACGACGCTTGTGCCAGGCTATGTGCACCTTGAGGCCACGTGAAGTGTCGAACGCCCGCTGGCAGGAGGTCACGGGGCAGACCCAGGTGCCACGGGTCGACTGACTGAGATGACTGGCTGATGCACCACCTGTGCCCCCTACTGTGCCAACCTGCTGTGCTTTAGCCACCCGGCGCTCCGCTCGCTGTTGTGAGCGTCGCTCCTCCGCCCTCCGTTGTTGTTGGAGGGCGACTGCCTCCAACTGCCCAGTAGCATCCTTCACGAGCCTCCTCCACAGAGGCCGATCTTGACACCGCTGGTACCAGTCATCGGCAAGTCCACTCAGCTCCACGTCCTCCTGTACCACATCACTCCATCTCTTCTCTAGCCCGTGCCGCGCCCCGCTTAGCCCCCTCAATCCGGCCAAACAAAAGCTGTTTCGGCATGCGGTGGCTGGGCATGCGGGCTACATGACCCAGCCATCGCAGCCTTGCCTGCCGGAGGAGCTCACCGATGGGACCCTGCCCAGATCTTTCAAGGATTTGTGAGCTCCTCACACAATCCAGTCTGGTTAAACCCAGGATGGATCGTAGGCAGGTCAGCCTAAATGTTTCTAACCGGCGAAGATGTTCCATTAGGGGGGTCCACGTTTCGCAAGCGTAGAGAAGGGAGGGAATGACCGTGGCCGAGAAGACCTGAAGCTTAGTGCGGAGCGACAGACCAGGTAGCTTCCACACAGCGTTACGCAACCGATGAAAAGATATTGCCGCTCGACTGATTCGGAGTGAGACCTCTGCTGTTAAACTGGAGCCAGTCATAAGCACACTGCCCAGGTATGGGAAACTCTCCACTCTCTCCACAACTGCCCCATCACCGATTGGGAGTTGTGTGGGTGGAGTGTCCGATGGTACAAAATACCCAGGCAGGTGCTTAGTTTTGGTTGGGCTGATGGTAAGGCCCCACCTCTTAGTGGCACGCTCCAGTCTCAGCAGCAGCGTCTGCAACTCCTCCTCTGACTGAGCAGCTATTACCAAGTCATCAGCATACATAACGTGGTTGAGCAATAGGGAGCCATCCCTTGACCGCACCCGGGCATCGATTAGCCTCCCATTATATCTGTACCATATGGAGATTCCCCCGGTACAGCTATTGAAGGCTTCACGAACTACGTGGTCAAAATAGATGTTAAATAATGTGGGAGCCAGAGGACATCCCTGTCGCACCCCAAGGTGTACAGGGAATGGCTCTGACTCCCGGCCACGTAGTTTTACCCGGGCCCGCTCACCATCATGAAGGTCCTTAATGATCGTGAGCAGAGGGTCAGGTACTCCAAAAGCACGAAGAACGACCCAGAGCCCAGGCCTACTGATGGTATCATAGGCCTTGACCAGGTCAATAAAGCAGAGATGTAGGTCTTGTTGGAATTCCCTACACCTCTGCTGTAGCAGACGGACAGAAAATATGGCATCTGTGCAGGACCGCCCTTTCCTGAAACCGCATTGGGGCTCCGCAAGCCTCTCCTCAGCGTGCCTGGCAAGGCGATGCTGAATAATCCTTGCCAGGACCTTTCCCGGCACACTGAGGAGTGAGATGCCCCTGTAGTTGTTACAGTCTGTGCGGTCCCCCTTCTTAAAAAGGGGGACCACCAGGGCATCCTTCCAATCCTGCGGAACCCGTCCAGTGGTCCAGACTGTTGTTATGATGTCATATAGGGCAGTCTGTGCACAAACGCCACCCTCCCTCAGCATTTCGCTTGGGAGATCATCTCTGCCCGCTGCCTTTCCTGGTCTCAGACTCCGGATCGCCTTCAATACTTCCTCAGCAGATGGCACCTCAGCCAGCCACTCACAGGGGGTGACTTCATCCAATATTTGAGGCACCGCAGCCTCAGCAGGGTCATCCTCACTTTGTGCCACGATGTTTTCCTGGCTGTGGGATTTTCCCTCCCCCAGGACCTCACAGAAATGCTCAGCAAATCTGCGAACCTGTTCCTGGGGGTCGGAAATTGGATCACCGTTTTTTCCCCTAATGATGGTAATAGGTGTGGCGCTGCAGGTTACTTTTTTGATGGAGTTAAATAGCGATTTGTGATCACGGGCCACTGAGGCAGACTCCATCTCCTCAGCAACCCGCGACCACCACCCATCCTTGCAGCGCCTCACGGCTCTCCGAACCTCCGAGCGAAGGCTGCGGTAAGCCTCCTCATTCTCTGACGTGGGATTCTGTAGCCGATGACAGTGGGCCTGTCGCTTTTTCTCAACCATCCTGAACAACTCCTCTGTCATCCAGGGTGTCTGGGGAGGTCTGGACCGCGTACCCAAAGCAGCCATTGCAGCTGCATGAGTCACAGTCCTAAACCTCGCCCATTTACCCTCGACATCAGGAGGAGTCGGGGACGATGCCAATCCCAGCCGCAAGCGATGATGAAATTCTCGCTTGCAACTTTCATCAGATAACTGAGACCAGGCCACTTTAGGTTGGAATGGGGTCCTGGGTGTACACCCACCACCGGAGTGGAAGAATGGCAGGCGCATCTTACAGATGACTAGTCGATGGTCAGAGGGCAGATCAGCTCCACGGTAGGTCCTGGTGTCAAGGACATGGGCTCGCATTCGCTGGTCCGTCACTATGTAGTCCAGCAGATGTTCTTGCTTGGACCCGGCATGCATCCATGATGTTGTGTGGATGCGCCGATGCCGGAACAGCGTGTTGGTAATTACAAGCCCATGGGCTGCACAAAAATCTAGCAGCCTCCTACCATTGTTATTGAGCTGATCTGGCCCATGCCCTCCAATCACTCCAGACCAGGTGCCAGTATCATGACCAACTCGGGCATTGAAGTCACCCAACATGATGACTCTATCCCGAGGGGCCACTTTAGCCAGCACCTGTGACAGGAGGTCATAGAAGGCATCTGACTCATCGGCTTTGCCTGCATCCCTCCACGGATGTTCATCTTCGGTGGGGGCATAAGTAACCACGACCACCATTCCTCGCCTCCGGTTGATGGGAAGGCGAGCCCAAAGTAGCCTGGGGCTTACAGCTTCCCACACCTCACCGCCACGCTCCCACGCCCCCTTCATTCTTTTGTTCAAAAGAAGACCCACACCCTGTTGTTTGGCAGTCTGCTGCCCCGAGTAGAGGACTGTCCACCCCTCATGGTGGCAGGAGCCAGAGCCGGTCCACCGGACACACACTCACACACTCACACACACACTCACACACTCACACACACACACTCACACACTCACTGTCACACACACACACTCACACACTCACACACACACACTCACTGTCACACACTCACACACTCACACACACTCACACACTCACTGTCACACACTCACACACTCACACACTCACACACACACACTCACACACACTCACTGTCACACACTCACACACACTCACCCACACACACTCACACACACTCACACACTCACACACACTCACTCACACACACTCACACACACACACTCACCCACACACTCACTCACACACTCACCCACACACACACTCACTCACACACACACACTCACACACTCGCACACAACAACAACAACCGCCATTCGCCACTAAGTGGCGGTGACGTCACCACGACGCTTGTGCCAGGCTATGTGCACCTTGAGGCCACGTGAAGTGTCGAACGCCCGCTGGCAGGAGGTCACGGGGCAGACCCACATGCCAGGAGTCGACTGACTGAGATGACTGGCTGATGCACTACCTGTGCCCCCGACTGTGCCAACCTGCTGTGCTTTAGCCACCCGGCGCTCCGCTCATTGTTCTGAGCGTTGCTCCTCCGCCCTCCGTTGTTGTTGGAGGGCGACTACCTCCAACTGCCCAGTAGCGTCCTTCACGAGCCTCCTCCACAGAGGCCGATCTTGACACCGCTGGTACCAGTCATCGTCAAGTCCACTCAGCTCCACGTCCTCCTGTACCATATCACTCCATCTCTTCTCTAGCCCGTGCCACGCCCGCCTAGCCCCCTCAATCCGGCCGAACAAAAGCTGTTTCGGCATGCGGTGGCTGGGTATGCGGGCTACATGACCCAGCCATTGCAGCCTTCCCCGCCGGAGGAGCTCACCGATTGGACCTTGCCCAGATCTTTCAAGGATTTGTGAGCTCCTCACACAATCCAGTCTGGTTAAACCCAGGATGGATCGTAGGCAGGCCAGCCTAACTGTTTCTAACCGGCGAAGATGTTCCATTAGGGGGGTCCACGTTTCGCAAGCGTAGAGAAGGGAGGGAATGACCGTGTTCGAGAAGACCTAAAGCTTAGTGCGGAGCGACAGACCAGGTAGCTTCCACACAGCGTTACGCAACCGATGAAAAGATATTGCCGCTCGACTGATTCGGAGTGAGACCTCTGCTGTTAAACTGGAGCCAGTCATAAGCACACTGCCCAGGTATGGGAAACTCTCCACTCTCTCCACAACTGCCCCATCACCGATTGGGAGTTGTGGGGGTGGAGTGTCCGATGGTACAAAATACCCAGGCAGGTGCTTAGTTTTGGTGGGGCTGATGGTAAGGCCCCACCTCTTAGTGGCACGCTCCAGTCTCAGCAGCAGCGTCTCCAACTCCTCCTCTGAATGAGCAGCTATTACCAAATCATCAGCATATATAACGTGGTTGAGCAATAGGGAGCCATCCCTTGACCGCACCCGGGCATCGATCAGCCTCCCATTATATCTGTACCATATGGAGATTCCCCCGGTACAGCTATTGCAGGCTTCACGAACTACCTGGTCAAAATAGATGTTAAATAATGTGGGAGCGAGAGGACATCCCTGTCGCACCCCAAGGTGTACAGGGAATGGCTCTGACTCCCGGCCACGTAGTTTTACCCGGTCCCGCTCACCATCATGAAGGTCCTTAATGATCGTGAGCAGAGGGTCAGGTACTCCAAAAGCACGAAGAACAACCCAGAGCCCAGGCCTACTGATGGTATCATAGGCCTTGACCAGGTCAATAAAGCAGAGATGTAGGTCTTGTTGGAATTCCCTACACCTCTGCTGTAGCAGACGGACAGAAAATATGGCATCTGTGCAGGACCGCCCTTTCCTGAAACCGCATTGGGGATCCGTAAGCCTCTCCTCAGCGTGCCTGGCAAGGCGATGCTGAATAATCCTTGCCAGGACCTTTCCCGGCACACTGAGGAGTGAGATGCCTCTGTAGTTGTTACAGTCTGTGCGGTCCCCCTTCTTAAAAAGGGGGACCACCAGGACATCCTTCCAATCCTGCGGAACCCGTCCAGTGGTCCAGACTGTTGTTATGATGTCATATAGGGCAGTCTGTGCACAAACGCCACCCTCCCTCAGCATTTCGCTTGGGAGATCATCTCTGCCCGCTGCCTTTCCTGGTCTCAGACTCCGGATCGCCTTCAGTACTTCCTCAACAGATGGCACCTCAGCCAGCCACTCACAGGGGGTGACTTCTTCCAATATTTGAGGTACCGCAGCCTCAGCAGGGTCATCCTCACTTTGTGCCACGATGTTTTCCTGGCTGAGGGATTTTCCCTCCCCCAGGACCTCACAGAAATGCTCAGCAAATCTGCAAACCAGTTCTTGGGGGTCGGAGATTGGATCACCGTTTTTTCCCCTAATGATGGTAATAGGTGTGGCGCTGCAGGTTACTTTTTTGATGGAGTTAAATAGAGATTTGTGATCACGGGCCACTGAGGCAGACTCCATCTCCTCAGCAACCCGCGACCACCACCCATCCTTGCAGCGCCTCACGGCTCTCCGAACCTCCGAGCGAAGGCTGCGGTAAGCCTCCTCATTCTCTGACGTGGGATTCTGTAGCCGATGACAGTGGGCCTGTCGCTTTTTCTCAACCATCCTGAACACCTCCTCTGTCAGCCAGGGTCTCTGGGGAGGTCTGGACCGCGTACCCAAAGCAGCCATTGCAGCTGCATGAGTCACAGTCCTAAACCTCGCCCATTTATCCTCGACATCACGAGGAGTCGGGGACGATGCCAATCCCAGCCGCAAGCGATGATGAAATTCTCGCTTGCAACTTTCATCAGATAACTGAGACCAGGCCACTTTAGGTTGGAATGGGGTCCTGGGTGTACACCCACCACCGGAGTGGAAGAATGGCAGGCGCATCTTACAGATGACTAGTCGATGGTCAGAGGGCAGATCAGCTCCACGGTAGGTCCTGGTGTCAAGGACATGGGCTCGCATCCGCTGGTCCGTCACTATGTAGTCCAGCAGATGTTCTTGCTTGGACCCGGCATGCATCCATGATGTTGTGTGGATGTGCCGATGCTGGAACAGCGTGTTGGTAATTACAAGCCCATGGGCTGCACAAAAATCTAGCCGCCTCCTACCGTTGTTATTGAGCTGATCTGGCCCATGCCCTCCAATCACTCCAGACCAGGTGCCAGCATCATGACCAACTCGGGCATTGAAGTCACCCAACATGATGACTCTATCCCGAGGGGCCACTTTAGCCAGCACCTGTGACAGGAGGTCATTGAAGGCATCTGACTCATCGGCTTTGCCTGCATCCCTCCACGGATTTTCTTCTTCGTTGGGGGCATAAGTAACCACGACCACCATTCCTCGCCTCCGGTTGATGGGAAGGCGAGCCCAAAGTAGCCTGGGGCTTACAGCTTCCCACACCTCACCGCCACGCTCCCACGCCCCCTTCATTCTTTTGTTCAAAAGAAGAGCCACACCCTGTTGTTTGGCAGTCTGCTGCCCCGTAGAGGACTGTCCACCCCTCATGGTGGCAGGAGCCAGAGCCGGTCCACCGGACCTCCTGAATGCCACATAGATCCACCTCCCGACAGAGGAGTGGCAGCCTCTCCTCCGTAGTGAGCGTTCGAACATTCCACGTAGCCACCCGTAGTGGCTTTTCGTTGTTTCTGGAGGAGCCCCGAGGATAGATATTCAATCTCCTGGCTCTGCTAATTGGGGTTTGGCCAGGAGACGTCATAGACGCCTGGCCCCCCGGGGCCTCCAGTTTAACTCATGGTTTAGTGGTAATTAATTGAAGGTGGAGGGGTTACCAGCCCCTCGCACCCGTCCAGAGCCCCCGTTTAGCCCCTGTGGTGGACACATATGCCGTGAGGGGAGGAGCCAATCAATATTGGACCTCCCCCCACAGCACTGTCCACGACAGAGTTGCCCGTCCGGCACCGCGAGGAGGTAGGGGGTTGTTTTGCCACACACTCACCCACACAGACTCACACACACTAACCCACACACACTAACCCACACACTCTAACCCACACACACTAACCCACACACACTCACCCACACACACTAACCCACACACACTCACCCACACACACTCACCCACACACTCACCCACACACACTCACTCACCCACACACACTCACACACTCACCTGCACACACTCACACCCCCACACACTCACACCCCCACACACTCACCCACCTCGCCCTGGTGGTCATTCCATCCGGCGACCTCTGCAATGCACGTCCAGCGGCGCTGCTATCCGCGGCGGTGTCCGCCATTAGGTCCACTCAGCCAGAACTCGTGCTGTACTCTGTGTTCCTGTAGGGGCCGGTGGAGATGCAGAGAAAAGCAAGCAGGTTCATTTCAAGTCGGAGCAGGTATGGACGCGCGCACACACACACACGCACACACACGCACACACACGCACACACACGCACACACACAAATATCTCCCGTATAGCCTCAACAGACGGTAGGGGCAAGTGCTGCTAGCGGAGATCTATGAAGGGCGGCACGGCTCACGAAGAGGTCGTTGGCCGACACCACGCCCGGTACCACCTTTGTCTCCCCAGTGCTAGCGATGTTTACTACACACCGCTACACCAGGTACTCAGTTGAGTCTTAGTCGACCTAAGGTAGGCCCAGGACCGATTCAGATAATTGTCACTGGTTTTGGCCATAAGCGGGAATTGAACTCGGGTTGCCGGGTTCGTAGCGCAGCGTGCACACCGCTACACCACCGCTCCCCTCGCACGCACATGCACAACCACAGACGCACACACTGCTATGTATTCGTAGTCTGCGTGACTCTCACCATCATCACCACGGTGGCTAGGAGATGTTAAATACCTCGCCTGGGGTACAGGAGGTCGTGGGTTTGATCCCGACCCTGACGATGCCTGCTGCTGCTGCTGTATATTTGGAGTTTGCGTCTTTCTCTCTCCACGTGGTTGCGTGGATTTTTCTCCGGGTCCTCCGGTTTCCCCTCCACATCACCACGCATTACAAGTTTTTGGCTGCTAGAAATGTCCTACGCGATGATAAGCCACTTTCGTTGAGCTTTCATTTGTGACAGCCAGGTCGCTGCTGAAAGAGAGCTACATGTCTCGGGCCCGAGTAGTGCGGCCCAGATGCTCGGAGCGATGGCAGCGTTGTTCGTTGTTTGCGGGCTGGATCAAGCAGTGAGCGGGCAGTGGGGGGGAGCGGACTGTGGGCCCTAGGAAGTGGAGTCTCAGACTACGTCTAGCGGCCCTCTGGCCAGCCAGTTTCCCCCCTCCCCCCGCTCACCACAGCGTGAACATCCATTCACTCATATTGGTCGGTGGATGCAGGACACCGCTCAAGAGGCTCGCAAGGTCAACCTCAAGGAGGTCATCTGAGCCGTGCCAACGCAGCAACCGTAGCACCGCACACACACAAAACACACACACTCACTCAACACGCCCACTCGACACCCACACGCTCGCTCAACACATACTCGCTCAACACGCACTCACTCAACACGCCCACTCGACACCCACACGCTCGCTCAACACACACTCGCTCAACACATACTCGCTCAACACGCACTCACTCAACACGCCCACTCGACACCCACACGCTCGCTCAACACACACTCGCTCAACACACACTCACTCAACACGCTCACTGAACACGCACACTCTCTCTGTCTCTCTCTCTCTCCGTCTCTGTGTCTCTGTATGTGTCTCTCCCTGCGTCTCTCTCGTCTCTCTCTCTGCATCTTCGCGCGTCCCGGCGCAAGCGACGGTCGTCGCGCCTGCGGTAGTGGGACGCCAGAGTCGGGAATAAAAAAAAAACAGCAATCTACCAAAAAGCAATGGCGGAAGGAAACCGAGGCATGGGACGACGACTTGAGACGGCGACGGACGGAGCGGAGGAGGAGGCACTAGAATGGGGAGGTTACGGCACGGAGACATCAACGGGAGGAGCCGGCACCACGTCGCTTATCCCACCTGCCCGGGGTCCCGGGGTGTCGGCGGCCACGCGGAGCGCCACGGCGGCTCTGGCGTGGGGCCGCCCAGCTGTGGGGGGCCAGGCCGGCAGAGATGGGCTTTGTTCAGCGGCGCGGGGTGGCGGTGGCCCTGTCGGTCGGTCGCGGCGGCTCGGCTCCCGTCGGGAGTTGCGTCGCCGGCGCTGTAGCTGATGCGCCCCCCACACACGAAGACTCCCCCGTGCGGCCTCTAACGGGCTGTTGGGACGAGTGCCGTTAGCGAGCGGTGCCTACGAAGGCCGGCGCTCCGCACGAGGGGGCGGGTGGCCAGAACCGACCGCGCCCTGCCGCCTTTGTCTCCCCGGTGCTGATATTTACGCACGCCGCTAGCACCTCGTTTTGAGGCTGAGTCGACCTAGGGGGGGGGGGGGGGGAGGCCCAGGGGGACCGGTTTGGATATTTCGCCACCGTCGTTGGCCGTGAGCGGGAATTGAACCTGGGGTCGCCGGGTTCGTAGCGCAGCACGCCAACCGCTGCACCACCGCTCCCTGTTGCCAAGTGCGCGCAGACGCACGCACACGTACGCACGCGCGCACACGAGTACACACACGTACACACACATGCACATGAATACAAAATGTACGTGTCTAGATTTTGTAATCGATGAGCAGTCATTTAGTCCGATGCCGCACGTTTTGCTCCCGTTCTTTTTACGTTGAAGTTCACGTTTGTTTTTTTATATACATCGAAATTCTCCACGTGGCTTTTTTTTTGTATTTTTGAGACGTGAGTCCGATTTACAATGGAGATATTTACGGAGGCGGAAGATCGCACATCTCTCCACGTTTGGTTCACCCCCTCGTCGTTTAAACTCCCTGCCTCCTCCTCCGGGAGCAGTGGGGGGGTGGGTGGTTGGGGGTCAACGTCGTCAGTGATGCTCGTCGCGTTCAAGCGCAGCTCGCGGGTTCTTCAAGAGTCTCTGATTCGGTCGTCGATCCGTCGCTCGCCGTCGCTCGCTTGCCACGTCGGGGCACGCGCCCAGCCCCGTGCGACGTGCACCTCGTCACGTGTGACGAGGTGCACCTCGCCACGTGGGGGCGCTCGCTCTGACGTGCACCTCGCCACGTGTGACGTGCACCTCACCACGTGGGGGCGCTCGCTCTGACGTGCACCTCGCCACGTGTAACGTGCACCTCACCACGTGGGGGCGCTCGCTCTGACGTGCACCTCACCACGTGTGACGTGCACCTCACCATGTGTGACGTGCACCTCACCACGTGGGGGCGCCCGCTCTGACGTGCACCTCGCCACGTGTGACGTGCACCTCGCCACGTGTAACGTGCACCTCACCACGTGGGGGCGCTCGCTCTGACGTGCACCTCACCACGTGTGACGTGCACCTCACCATGTGTGACGTGCACCTCACCACGTGGGGGCGCCCGCTCTGACGTGCACCTCGCCACGTGTGACGTGCACCTCGCCACGTGTAACGTGCACCTCACCACGTGGGGGCGCTCGCTCTGACGTGCACCTCACCACGTGTGACGTGCACCTCACCATGTGTGACGTGCACCTCACCACGTGGGGGCGCCCGCTCTGACGTGCACCTCGCCATGTGTGACGTGCACCTCGCCACGTGTAACGTGCACCTCACCACGTGGGGGCGCTCGCTCTGACGTGCACCTCGCCACGTGTGACGTGCACCTCACCATGTGTGACGTGCACCTCACCACGTGGGGGCGCCCGCTCTGACGTGCACCTCGCCACATGTGACGTGCACCTCGCCACGTGTAACGTGCACCTCACCACGTGGGGGCGCTCGCTCTGACGTGCACCTCACCACGTGTGACGTGCACCTCACCATGTGTGACGTGCACCTCACCACGTGGGGGCGCCCGCTCTGACGTGCACCTCGCCACGTGTGACGTGCACCTCGCCACGTGTAACGTGCACCTCACCACGTGGGGGCGCTCGCTCTGACGTGCACCTCGCCACGTGTAACGTGCACCTCACCACGTGGGGGCGCTCGCTCTGACGTGCACCTCACCACGTGTGACGTGCACCTCACCATGTGTGACGTGCACCTCACCACGTGGGGGCGCCCGCTCTGACGTGCACCTCGCCATGTGTGACGTGCACCTCGCCACGTGTAACGTGCACCTCACCACGTGGGGGCGCTCGCTCTGACGTGCACCTCGCCACGTGTGACGTGCACCTCACCATGTGTGACGTGCACCTCACCACGTGGGGGCGCTCGCTCTGACGTGCACCTCGCCACGTGTGACGTGCACCTCGCCACGTGTAACGTGCACCTCACCACGTGGGGGCGCTCGCTCTGACGTGCACCTCGCCACGTGTAACGTGCACCTCACCACGTGGGGGCGCTCGCTCTGACGTGCACCTCACCACGTGTGACGTGCACCTCACCATGTGTGACGTGCACCTCACCACGTGGGGGCGCCCGCTCTGACGTGCACCTCGCCACGTGTGACGTGCACCTCGCCACGTGTAACGTGCACCTCACCACGTGGGGGCGCTCGCTCTGACGTGCACCTCGCCACGTGTGACGTGCACCTCACCATGTGTGACGTGCACCTCACCACGTGGGGGCGCTCGCTCTGACGTGCACCTTGCCACGTGTGACGTGCACCTCACCACGTGGGGGCGCTCGCTCTGACGTGCACCTCGTCACGTGGGGACGCACGCCTCGCCTCGTGTGACGCGACGCGCCGGGCGCTGGGCCGGGTGCTCGCTGAGATTATTGACCGTCTGCCTTGGGGGGGGGGGGTTGAAAAATATCCACTAACGAATCACGACAATGTAAAACTTGAATTAGACGAATAAAGAGGCCAAGCTGCAGAGCATCGCGGGTGGCCCCTCGTGATGGACTCTTGTGCAGGAGCGGCGTGTTAACGTTGGCAAAGGGCGGCACGGCGTCGCGTATCCCGCTCGCTGGGGATCGATGCGGATATGCGAAAAGGGTCGGGTATGCGACGCTGCTGTGCTACCTCGCACTGTTTGGTGCTGCCGCTGCGATGTTCATTGCGGTGGTTGTGGCCGATTTCGTGGTTGGCTCGGGAATGTGGGCGACGGTGTGGGAAGGGATAATGGCGAGCGGCCAGCGGCTAACGGTGCCGTTCATATTGGAATACATTGGGTGTTATGTAACGAGTGTCTTGAATCGAGCGGGGTTACTTTTTGCAGATGATGATGATGATGATGGGAGGAGGGAATTCCTCCCGAGTGGAAAAGTGCGAGGGAAGAAGCGGAGAGAGAGGTGCCGTAGCCTGCCGTTCAATACCGAAGAGGACAAGGGCTTCTGGGTGGCCCCCATGATGCATTGCAGCCTCACTAAGCTCGTGGTGCTATTGATCGGACGACGCTCGTCGCTCAAGCGAGAGTTCACTCGCCATTGCTTGACGTCCTTTATTGAACCATTTGTGAAGTCGTCGTTAGGTTGTGGGTACGACAGGGTAGTGGTGGTGGTGGTAGCGTTCTAGTTGTGACAACACTCGCGCCTCACAGTAAAAAGCCCCTGGGTTCGACTCCCGACTCGGGCTCCTTTCTGTGAGTACAGTTTGCACGTTCTCCCTCTCCTCTGCGTGGCTTTCCTCCGGGCTGTCTGGTTTTCTCCTCGAGCTAAAATACCCCTCCCCCCGTACAGTATCACTGGCGTAAGCCAAGAAACAATCTCACTGCTGTGAAACTCACGTGCGGATCACTCCATGTGGGATCACCCGCAGCACGGAGCATCTACCGCAAGCACTTGGCAGGACCCTCCTGAGCAGGAGCCTTGAGATTCCTCAGTGAGACCGTCCCGGCTGAACGAGCGCCATCTCTGAATGTAAATCAGCTCCAGCCACCCTGCCGCCCCCCCCCCCCCCCCCCCCCCAGTGAGTCTCGTGACCTCGTTTTCAGGAGGGTCCTGCTTGCTTACATCGCCACGTTTAGCCGTCAAATTCCTTTGGCGGCGGAGGTGGCAGTGGTGGTGGTGATTGTGTCGGTGGTGGTGGTGATTGTGTGGGTGGTGGTGGTGGTGGTGAGATGGCCTTCCCTCTGTGGGAGCAAACCGGAGTACCTTGGAGAATGCCCCAGTACCACGCGATGGATTCTCAACGAACATCTCTCGCCAGGTTAACCCAAACACCAAACCATTTCTGAAGGCAATTATGATTTCCAAGTATTTGTTTTATACGTATTTTATTTTATACCTGCGTGCCTCTTTATTAAGCCAGTTGCTTTAGTGTATACTTTTCATAGTTTAAACCGGTGTGAGTGTAACTGCGAGTGAGTCCTCTGGGCTTGTATGGACCACGTTGGTTACACAAGGCTCTCTCCGGGCGGAACAGGAGGAGTTTTTTTGTGTGACTATCCGTACGCTGTTGTGTAACCGGCGCGGTCCGTGTAACGAAAGACAAGCCACAATAAAGCCACAACGACGATTGTGAACCCGGCGTTGCGTTGCGTGTCAAGGCACCGAAGGACGGAGGTCGTCAGTTCGATTCCATCTCCTACCCCTCGCCTGCCCACCAGCCTGTCCGCCCAGCAGTGTACAGGGGTACATCATAATGCATGGTGGGGTAAAGTGCGGGTACGGGTTGCGGAAGACCCGACTTACGGAATTGCTCCCATAGATCATGTTTAAAAGTTAATTGTGCGGAAATGTTTGCGTTAGTTGCGTAAGCACAAATAGTAAATGGTGCGGCGCGGTGACTTTGTGGATGAATACCGCGGAGCGAGGAGGCGACCTGCCCCCTGGCACCGCCTTCACCAAGCTTCTCCAGGATGAAGGCGAATGGAACTTCTCGTAGCATCACGCAATTGTTTTCCCATGCTTATATTGCTAGTTTTCAGTGGATTTCATGAGTTATTTACCGTATGTACTTTATTTAACACGATTACATTTCGATTGCTTAGGGCCATTGGCTAACAACATTAAAATGTTTCGTGGTGTTCATCAACAATTGGATACAGTAAATGTTCCATTAGTTTGCGCGTCGTGTTAGGGTAAGACATTCGATGAAGTGAAAGAATCATAGGAAGTGCAGAGCGTATGTACAGCAATACGACCCAGGTAGTGATGGAAAACAGACTACAGCGTGATACGGAACTGAGAGGAAACGGAGCTCGTGATTGGGTAGGCGGGGAGGCACAGGCGAAACTCTTTCCGGCCCAGTGGGATTTTATCGTGGATTTTGGAGGGGGGGGGGGAAATGTTCAGTTTCCGACATACGGAAAATTCGGATGACGGATCGCTCACGGCAACGTGACCCTTCCATAGGTAGGGGACTGATGGCTCATGGGAACGTGACCCTTCCGTAGACAGGGGACTGATCGCTCACGGCAACGTGACCCTTAGGTAGGGGACTGATCGCTCATGGCAACGTGACCCTTCCGTAGGTAGGGGACTGATCACTCACGGGAACGTGACCCTTCCGTAGACAGGGGACTGATCGCTCACGGGAACGTGACCCTTAGGGAGGGGACTGATCGCTCACGGGAACGTGACCCTTCCGTAGGTAGGGGACTGATGGCTCACGGGAACGTGACCCTTCCGTAGGTAGGGGACTGATCGCTCATGGCAACGTGACCGTTAGGTAGGGGACTGATCGCTCACGGGAACGTGACCCTTCCGTAGGTAGGGGACTGATCACTCACGGGAACGTGACCCTTCCGTAGACAGGGGACTGATCGCTCATGGCAACGTGACCCTTCCGTAGGTAGGGGACTGATCACTCACGGGAACGTGACCCTTCCGTAGGGAGGGGACTGATCGCTCATGGCAACGTGACTCGTAGACAGGGGACTGATCGCTCACGGGAACACGACCCTTAGGCAGGGGACTGATGGCTCACGGGAACGTGACCCTTCCGTAGACAGGGGACTGATCGCTCACGGCAACGTGACCCTTAGGTAGGGGACTGATCGCTCACGGCAACGTGACCCTTCCGTAGGTAGGGGACTGATCGCTCACAGCAATGTGACCCTTCCGTAGACAGGGGACTGATCGCTCACGGGAACGTGACCCTTCCGTAGGGAGGAGACTGATGACTCACGGGAACGTGACCCTTCCGTAGGTAGGGGACTGATCGCTCACGGCAATGTGACCCTTCCGTAGGGAGGGGACTGATCACTCACGGCAACGTGACCCTTCCGTAGGTAGGGGACTGATCGCTCACGGCAATGTGACCCTTCCGTAGACAGGGGACTGATCGCTCACGGGAACGTGACCCTTAGGGAGGGGACTGATCGCTCACGGGAACGTGACCCTTCCGTAGACAGGGGACTGCCTGAACTCCCGTCTCGTCTTCCTGGACGACTGGCCGAGTAGACCCAGAGTACCGTCTCCCAGGGTACAACAAATGTGGGCTCCATCTGTTCCATCTGTACGGGATAGAGCGTTGCCCCCTCACACGTTTGAGGTTTCTCCCACGCATATAAATGCTCGTTAATTACGATCATAAACAAAATTGGCTGGACATGTTAATCCTGTATATAGAGGATCGCAGAACGTTGGCAATTGGAGGCGCCGGCTTATCGTCTGGCTGCTGCATTCCAGCTGATTTGTGGTTCCTCGGCGATTGTGCGAGACGGAATTTGCTTGAACGACGATTTTGTTGCATGCGATGCAGTATACAGGGACTGCTCTGCTTACGAACGTTCGACTTACGAACTTTCAAGAGATGCGAACGAATCTGTCGAAATGTCCAGCTGCATGTCCGGACCGAGAGTCGTAAGCTCAACCGTCGCCCAGTAGACGGCGGCGGTGGCATCCACATCTGCCGAACGTGAAGAACCGGTGGCATCTGTACATCTACAGGAGGTTATACAACTTTGTAAGCCATCCCCCGTGTTTAGTGTGC